ACCACTTCTTCTGTGACGTGCCCCCCCTGCTCCGGCTGGCCTGTGCCAACACGGCTCTCAACGAGCTGGTCATGTTCGGCATCTGTGGTTTCATCATTGTGGGCACCACTCTGGTGGTCCTGGTCTCCTATGGCTACATCGCAGTGACCATCCTCAGGATGCGCTCAGGATCTGGGCGGCACAAGCTCTTCTCCACCTGTGGCTCCCACCTGACAGCCGTGTCTCTGTTTTATGGAACTGTGTTTGTGATGTACGCCCAGCCAGGAGCCGTGGGGTCCATGGAGCAGGGCAAGGTGGTCTCGGTCTTCTACACCCTGGTCATCCCGATGCTCAACCCCCTCATCTACAGCCTGCGGAACAAGGACGTGAAGGACGCCCTGCGGAGGCTGGGACAGGTACACAGCCAGGCCCAGGATGGTGTCCCCTGAGACACAGTGTCCAAGGGCCTAGATGGACGGGCCAGAGGGCTCTAAACTGCACTCTGTCCCTCCACCTTCCCTGCTTCCTCTTCTTTCTTCCTCCTTTGTCCACCCTGCGTCCCGCCCTTCGTCCCAGCACATGGGGACCAGCAGATGCTAAGCAGGAGAGTGAGTCCTGCCTGCTCTGACCTTCAGAAGTGTCCTGAGCAGGGCTGGGCCAGGCTGCTCCCCTCCAGGGGAAACACCTGTGGGCCCTGTCCTCGTGCCTCCACAGGACCCCTCCATGGGGCAAGCAGCCCTGGGGGAGACGAGCTAACCTCCCGACAGCCAGGTGGCCACCGCAGGGCCTCCTGCCCGCACCCCTCTCTTTGGGCTCCTGATCCACCCCACTGTAGAGAGATGGGTTTCAGGCGACTCTCCCACACAGGCCAGCGTTCCTCAGGGTGCGCTGCGGTCTGCAGGGCTGGGCCCACAGAGGCCAGGTCTGCACGGGCTGCCTCTCAGGAAGGAGTGGGCCAGCGTGGTGGCCGTCACAGAGGGCAGGCGTGCGCTCTCATCCGCCATGCACAGCTCAGGTAAAGCACCCAGCTCACAGACAGACACTGGCCCAGTGCCCAGAGTCCACCCGCTCCCTCCCGACCCCTCCCAGACTAAGCCGTGACCAGCCTCAGCCACAGTGCCCGCCACCCACAGGGACTTCCTAGGTGGAGCCCACGCAGGGGTGTTGTCTCTGTGAGCTGAGTCCCTGTGGCCATGTGTCAGCTCCTGCTGGCCTCCTCGGGCTGCACCAGACGAGGCCATCCTCTCTGCCCCACTCGGGGACACAGGCTCGTGGCAGGGGTCCTCTTGGATGCTCTGGTGCGGACTCCTCTCTGGACAGATGCCTTCTGGTGGGGGCCTGGGAGCTCGTGGTGCATGGGGGCTGGGGAGGCAGAGCTCAGATGCTGCCAGAGTTAGTCTGGCCCTTTGGCCCCGGGCTGCGTCCTCATCTCCCGCTGGCTGGGGAGGGAGCCTCCTTTCAGACATTCATTTTTTTCGGCCAGTTTGTTTGATTTTTTTTTTTGTGTGTGTGTTCTCCACCTCTCGATGGGCGTCCCTCCTGTGCTCTGGGCATGCACACTGCACGGATGTTGTGATTTTCTAGTTCATTTCCCTCTCTGTGGTTGTGGCCTCACTGTCTCCAGTCTTTGGTCAACACAAGTTTTTACACTGAGGATTCCAGGTTTCTCTGCCTTCCTTTGTGATTAGTGCATTCTGGTTCATGTGGAGAGAAATCTTTCCTACTGTAGTCCCCAACAGTTTCTGTTTTATAGTTAACAAGTTCTGTTGTTCATTCTTTTCTATGATGAACCACAATCCATGTGAATCTAAGGTTTCTGCCTGATTAGAAGTAACCTCTAGTTCCATTTTCTCCTCCATGTACCTCACTTCTGACCCTTTACAAAGTAAACTGCTGTGCAGAATCTGAGTGTCATTTTTTCATGAAACACATGTCCATCGACATGTAGGTCTGTGTCTCCAATCCACTTTTCCATTTGCCTGTTTGTCTGTCCTGAAACCATTTCATTATGTACTACCAAATATCACGGGGTAGTTAATGTAGCAAAATATAAAATATAGGAAATAGAAATGAAACTCAAAATCTCCTTGTTTTGCATCAAAAATAAAATAAAATACATCAATAATAATATGCTTCACCCAAAAGTAAAGAGAAAAAACTGCACACTCACAAGCAATTTGGAAATAGAAAACTCTCACTGCTTTGATGGCACAAATGGTGACTGAGTAAATAGAAGGACACACCATATTACTGCCTGAGAAGGGCGGACCCCATAAAGACCTGCATTTCATAACTGAATTTATAAACCCTTCTCTGCCACCTGGCCAGGTTTCTATAGTACTAAGAACACATCACATCAAAGAAAAGAAAAATCCAAAGAACTTCTGAAAACTGAAAAGAAAAAGGAGGGACAGGGCCTGCCAAAGTCCGTGGAAGAGTAAGAGCGAGGTCTCCGACGACGGTAGAACTCTGAAACGGTGTGGAACTCATTAGTATGAGGAGCTGAAAGTTCTAAACTATAGCACAATTTAACACATTTGTCAGAGTGGAGTCAGAGGAAACAGGAACTCGTCCACTCCTGGCTGCATTTCACTGGCTTAATCATTCTGGGAGGAAATCTGGCAGGATAAGTAGATAAAAAAGAAAGAATTTAATAAGGTGCAATTTCTCAGCAGGAATTGTCCAGAACCAAAATGGTGGCTAGCAAGAAGAATCCGCCATTCTGATGTCATGGAATTTGTGAATACAGATAGCAACTTGAAGAAGCCAGAACTGAAGAGACAGGATCAGCATGACACCCCTGCGTCCCTGCGGGTCCCCTCTGCATGGTCCTTGAGCAGCTCAGAGTTGGCTGTCTGCATCTATCTGTCTACTTTGCCATGTGTATCTAGGTATGCACCTTGGAGGGGGGAAGGAAGGCCCCTGCTGTAGTTTTCATAATGGAAAAAGAGAATAAAAAAGATGGATTAATTGTGCTTCTTCAAATGTTTCCATGAATAAATTGGGTCCATTTATATTGTGTGTTTCAATAGAAGTTAATATGGGAGGATTTTTCAGAAGGCCATCAAGTTCCTATGGACCAGATTTTCACCCAGAGCTGGAGAACTGAAATACTCATAAGATAGAATAGTGAGGATGTTTTCCTGACCTTGTCATCTGCAAGCCAACCACACCTTTCCCACTGTATTAGGTTCCTAAGGATACCATACAGAAAGAGAAATGTGTTATTCCACAGATGCTGCAGACAGATGCCCAAAAGCAAGGTGCAGCAGGACCATGCTAACCCTGAAATCTGTCTTCCTTGGAAGTCACAGTGGCTCCCGCCATCCCTGGTGCTCCTCGGCCAGCAGCTGCCTGGCTGCTCTCTCTGCCCCACCTCACACTCGCCTCTTCCTCCTGTCTATATGCCTCTGTGTCCTTTCTTCCTACAAGAACTCCAGCCATTGGTTTAGGGCCCACCCAGGATAGTACGGCTGAGTGTGGCAAAACTTCACTCTGATTTGGATGTATGCATATCATCTTGAACTCCATGCTTTTGCTTTATGTGTTTTCAGTCTTTATTATTTACATGCAAATTCAAATTTTCATATATGATTGGGTTGGATGAAACTTTTCACTATGAAATATCTGTTTTCCTATGTGTTTGACCATTTTATTTTTTTCCACATTTTATTGGTACATGACATACAGTTGTGCGTAATGATGGGATTTGTTGCTACATGTTCATACATACACACAACATAACAATATGATTTGGCCAATGTCATTCCTTAGCCCTCCCGTTTCCCACCCAACTTCCACCCCCTATCCCATTCTTCCACTGATCTCCTTTTGATTTTTATAAGACCCCCCACAACCTTTCTTTCCCTTTCCCTCTCTAGCTTCTGCATGTGAGAGAAAACTTATGGCCCTCGACTTTCTGAGTCTGGCTTATTTTGCTTAACATAGTGCTCTCAACTTTCATCCATTTCCTACAGATGACATGATTTTATTCTTTATGACTGAATACCACCTTTTCTTTATTAATTGATGGACACCTAGGTGGATTCCATGGTTTGGCTGCTGTGACTGTGCCTGCTGTAAACATGGGTGTGCAGGTCTCACTGTAGTGCGACGACTTGAATTCTTCAGAATCAATACTGAGCCGAGGTACAGCTGGGCTTATGGGGGTCCCATGCCTAGTCTTTTGAAGAGCCTCCATACTGCTCTATAGTGTTGAAATAATTGACAGTTCCACTCACAGTGTTAAAAGAGTTCCTGGCTTCATGTCCTCTCTACCACTTATTATTGTTTGTGTTCTTGACGATGACTGATGTTCTGACTGGCTGGAGGTCAAATCTCAGAGTAGTTTTGATTGGCATTTCCCTAATTGCTAATGATGTTGAATATTTTTTCATATATTTGTTGACATTTTGTATTTCTTCTTTTAATTCACTGGCCCATTTATTAATTGGGTTATTTGATTTTTTTGGTGTAAAGTTTCTGGGTTCTTTATAAACTCTACATATTAATCCTTTGTCAGAAGTGCAGCTAGCAGATTTTCTCCCACTTTGTGGGTTCTCTCCACAATCCTAATTGTTACCTTTGCTGTACAGAAGCTTTTTAACTTGATGCTATACCATTTAATAACTCTTGGCATCATTTCCTGAGCTTTAGGGATCTTATTGAGAAAGTCATTGCCTGTGCCTGGGTGCTGGAGTGTTGTTGAACATCACATGGAATATTTTCTAAAATAGACAATATTTTAAATCACATGGCAAATATTAGCAAATTTTTAAAAACAGAGATAATACATTGCATTCTATAAGATCATAATGAAGTGAAATTAGAAATCAAAAACTATTTAAAAACCACTATTTTAAAAACATTCTAACACCTAGAATTAAATAATACTCTTTTAGTTTTGGTACTGAGGATTGAACCCAGGGCTACTTAATCACACCCACAGCCCTTTTAATTTTTTAAATTTTGAGACAGGGTCTTGCTAAATTGCTTATGGCCTTGCTCAGTTACTGACACTGCCTTTGAACCCAGATCCTCCTGGCTCAGCCTTCTGAGTCGCTGGGATTACAGATGTGTGCCACTGTGCCTGCTTAAATAATACTCTTTTGAATGACAAACAGATAGCAGAAGAAATCAGAGGAGAAATAAATAATTCTTGGAAACAACTGAGAATAGAGATGCAGCATATCAACATCTCTGGGACAGTGTGAAGGCAGTTCTAAGAGGAAAGAACTGAATTCCTACATTTAAAAAACAAAAGATGCCAAATAAATCATCTAATGTTACATCTCAAGACCCTGGAAAAAGAAGAACAAACCAGTACCCGAATCAATAAAAGACAGGAAATCATTAAAATCAGAGCCAAAATCAATGAAATTGAGAATAAAAAGCAATACAGAGTATCAATGAAACAGCAAGCTGGTTCTTTGGAAGGATAAAGAAGATTGATAAGCCTTTAGCCAAAGTAACTAAAACAGAGAAAACCCAAATTAACAAAATTCAAGGTAAAAAAGGAAATATCACCACAGACATTACTGAAATCCAGAGGATCATCAGAAACTATTTTGAAAATTTATATTCCAATAAGCTAGAAAATATGAAGATACTGACAAATTCCTAAAACTTACGACCTAGCCAAATTGAACCCGAGGACATAGAAAACTTAAGCAGATCAATGTCAAATAATGAAATCGAAGAAGCTATCAAAAACTTTCCAACAATGAAAGCCAGGACTGGGTAAATTCTCAGCAGAGTTTTGCAAGACATTTAAAGAAAAACAGATGCTCAACTCCTCAGATTTTCCCATGAAACAGAAAAGGAGGGAACATTGCCAATCTCATTCTATAAAGCCAATATCACCTCGACACCAAAACCAGACAAAGACACATAAACAAAAGAAAACTGTTTCTTGGTGACATGATCTTATATTTAGAAGACCCCCCCAAAAAATCTATAACAAAAGACTGCTAAAACTAATAAACAAGTTTGGAAAAGTAGCAGGTTATAAAATCATCGTACAGCAGTCAATAACTTTCCTATATACCAACAATAAATAAATCTGCTGAGAAAGAAATCAGGAAAACAATTTCCTTTACAAAGACTTTAAAAAATAAATTGTCTAGCAATAAATCTCACCAAGGAGGTGAAAGACCTCTACTATGAAAACCATAGAACCCTGAAGAGAAAAACTGGAGTGGGCCCAGAAGACGGGAAGACCTCGCATGTGCATGGACAGGCAGAATTAGTACTGTTAAGATGGCCATCGCACCAAAGCAATGTGCAGAATCAGTGCAATCCCCATCCAAAGACTGACGACACTCCTCACAGAAAACAAGAGTTCTCAACGTCATTGGGAAGGACAAAAGACCCCAGATAGCCAAAGCAATCCTAGGCAAGAAGATCGATGGTGGAGCCTCACGATACCTGACTTCAAGTGATAGCACAGAGCTGCACTGACAAAACCTGCGTGGTCCTGGCTCCAAACAGACATGTGACCAGTGGACAGGGACCAGCCCACACAGACACAGTCATCTGACCCTTGACAAAGGGGCCCAAACATATTTTAAATAAAAAGACTTTTTATAAAATGTTCTGGGAAGACTAGTTATCCAAATGCAGAAGAGTGAAACTTGGCCCTTATCTTTCACCCAGCACAAAAGTCAACTCAAGGTAGATCAAAGGCCTCAGAATGAGACCAGACACTGCAGCTGGCAGAAGAAAATGTAGGCCAACACTCCAACGCAGGGACACAGGCACTGCCGTCCACTCCTGGACACAGGCACTGACCTCCATAACAAGGCTCCCGGAGTTTAAGAAACAACCAAAAATCAATAAGCATGGTACCATCAAATTAAAAACTTCCAGTAGCCAAGGAAACAAGAACATGAAGAGAGAGACTACAGGATAGGAGATCTGTGCCAGCTTTTCCTTAGAGGATTAATATACAGAATATACAAAGAGATCAAGAAACTAAATACTAATAAAAAACCAAATTAATAAATGGGTAAAAGGACTAAACAGACACTTCTCAAAAGAAGAAACACCAATATGTCATAAATATAAGAGAAAATGTTCAACTTTCCTAGCAATCAGGAAAATGCAAATCAAACTACATTGAGATTCATGTCACTTCAGTCAGAAAGTCAGTTATCAAGAACAAAAATAGTAATGACCATGGTGAGCCTGTGAGGAGAAGGCTCACTCACACATTGCTGATGGGACTGCAAATCAGCTCATGCACTCTGTAGAGCAGTATGGGCGTCCCTCCAAAGCCTAGGAATGGAACCCCCACGGTACGAGTCTCTATCTCACCGCTTGGTGTATGTACACAAGACCTGAAACAGCATAAGACTGGCCTGGGCCCACCACGTTCACTGCAGCCTGATTCACAACAGCCAAGCTATGGCCCCACCCAGGTGCGGCCAACGGGCAGATGGATAAATCAAATGTGGTTTATAGACACAGTGGAGTTTTAGCCATCAAGAAGAATGAAACTATGGCATTTGCTGGTAAATGGATGGGAACGGAGAACATCGTGCTAAGTTGTCAGGAGCCGTGAATGATGTGGGTTTGTCTGAGCCATCTCTAGGTGGAGGTGATGCCCTTCAGAAAACTCTGTTATCTCACCCATCTGAGACCGCTCTGTTGTCTTGGCAACACCCTGCTCAATGAGAATTCTGGGATGCCACGGAATTTACAGGTCCAGACGCAGCTGCCTGGAGGCAGAAAGAGATACCGGTGTGAGGAGGAGGAACAATCCCTGTGGTAAGCCCCCATCAGGCCACTCTCCCCAGAGGCCCTCTGTTTATCTTGAAGAACCTTTTCTTACAGTAGATCCCTTTGAGGTGTTTGGCTAGATGATAAAGGTTGGTGTGCTTTTTCTCTTTAT